CCCCGCGCTCAACCACGGCGCTCAGCAGCCCCGGGCCCGCGCTTGGCGCCGCCGCCCCCGCCGCAAGGCCGGGCTCACCGTCGTAGTAGTAACAGACTTTCCTCCGGGTGCCCTGAGTCTGCGCCATCTTGCTCGCCTCCCGGCCCTCCCGTCAGTCCGTCCGGCCGCCCGCCCGCGGCTCCGCACGGCGTCGGACCCGGGGGAGGGGCCATCCCGGACGCCCCGCCCCTCTCCTCGAGGCCGCGCCTATAACCGCGCAGCCCGGGCACCGCTCCAGCCAATCAGCGTGCGCGGGGGCCGGCCCGGAACTCGGCGGGGGGCGAGGGCGGCCCCGAGAAGCGGGCGCGGGCCCCCTGGGCCTGTACCAAGGTCGGCGGGGGGTGGGGGAGCCGCTGGGGACCATACCATCAGTCCCGGGGGAGGAGCCTCTCTGCAAACTTCCGAGTTGGGAGGCCCGCACCCAGAGCAGGCAACTTTGTGATTTTACGGAAAATAGACCGAGGTTTCCATGGGGAAAGTGACTTGAATAAGGTCACTCGGCTAATTGAGTAGGTTGAGTCTAGATTAGAACTCAGGAAGAAAGGAAAACTGCCAGGGGCCTGCTGGAGGACAAGTTCTGTAATAGCTTTACCAATGTTCAGTAGCTCTGATGGTCGACTTTTGTTATATAAAAACTCCATTTTACGCCGGTTATGGTGGCCTTTAATCCCAGCTCTGGGAAAGCAGAAGCAGGTGGATCACTGTAGATCCAGGCCAGCCTGGTCTACGTAGCAAGTTTCAGGACAGCAGAGGCTACAGGAAGACCATGTCTCCAAAACAAAACAAACATTTGTGCACCAGAGGTACTGTAACAAAATGGCAGAACTTGGTATCTCTTTTCTTCTTTTAAATTACATTTATTTCGGCCGGGTTTGGTGGCACTTGCCTTTAATCCCAGCACTTGGGAGGCAGAGACAGGCGGATCTCTGAGTTTAAGGCCAGCCTGTTCTACATAGTGGGTTCCAGGCCAGCTGGGGCTACAGGGAGAACCTCTGTTTCAAAAAGACCAAAAAAAAAAAAAAAAAGTTACATTTATTTATTTATTAGGAAGGTGTTTTCATGCCATAGCATGAGTATGGAGGTCAGAAGACAACTTGCAAGGGGCTGGGAGGGTTGAACTCAGCTCATTAAGCTTGGTGGCAAGCACCTTTGTCCACTGAACTATCTTGGGCCTAGAACTTGGTCTTTCTAAGCCCAAAGCCTACCCTACCCATGCCATCACCCAGAATCACCAAGGAATCTAGAAAGGAGGAAATAGAATTGTCCCATCATTAGGAGAGCAAAGTTTCAGCCTTGCTATTATTGACATTTTAGACTGGAGAATTCTTTGTTATAGGAGCAGTCTATGCATTGTAAATCTTACTGGCATACTTAGCCTCCTTACAAGCCTGTAGCAACCCACAGACACACAGTGACAACCAAAATTCTCTTCAGACATTGCCAAAAGTCTAGGGGTGGCATGTGCAGGGATCTAGATGGAGGATAGTATCATCTCCTCTGCACAGAACCGCTGTGTTAGATCCTGAATCCATCAGTTACCATTACTGAAAGACCAAAGAGCATTGGACTATTAAAATAGCAACCACAATAACCTCACCATTTACTGAAGGGCTTGCTATATACCCAGTATTGTGATGAGTTAACAATTTTTCTGTGCCCCTACAGCCAAGAAAACATTTCTATGTTTTCTTTTGCTGGTTTTTTGTTTTGGTTTTGTTTTGTTTTGTTTTTGGTCTTTTTGAGACAGGGTCTCTCTGTAGCCCCATCTGTCCTGGAACTCACTATGTAGACCGGGCTGGCCTTGAACTCACAGAGCTCTGCCTGCCTCTGCCTCCCAAGTGCTGGGATTAAAGGCGTGTACCACCACGCCCAGCTTAAAAACATTTTTTTTAAAGATGGGACAGTTTAACAGACAGTTGTTAGCTGCCATGTGGGTGCTGGGAATCAAACCAGGTCTTCTGCAAGAACAACCAGTGTTCTTAACCGCTGAGCCACCTCTCCAGCCCCTGAGTTTGGGCTTTTAGTGATAAGGTAGCATAAGATCTAAGAACAGGTAAGGTTAGTATAGAAAAAGGAAAGAAGGCAGTCCAGTGTGGTGGCACAGGCCCAACACTTGGGAAGCGAAGGCAGGCAGATATCTGTGAGTTCAAGGCCAGCCTGGTCTACATAGTAAGTTACAGGCCAGCTGGGATAGGGAGACCCTGTTTCAAAAAAAGAAAGAAAAAGCAAAGAGCTAGGAAACAAACCCTGTTTCCAGATCTATAATGCTGCTTCCCCATGGATTTAGGTGCGTCGGCTTAACTTTTCTAAGACTTCATTTCTCTTTTGCAATTGGGAGAGGATAAGAGAGCAAGTTCACTAGCTCCCTGGCTACACACGATATAAGAGAGGAGGACTCCAATGAGATCATTGAAGCATTTTGTAAAATAAAGAACCAGGCTCATAGACTTAGATGCCTACAGAGGTCAGGCAGGTGGAATAAGTGAAGTTTATACTCAGATATTGTTTGTTTGCATATTTTAAAACTTGGGATTTTCACACCCGTAAAGCAGTATGCCTTTTTCCCTCCTTTATCAAGTGTCCTGCCATTTTCCAGTTTCTTTTTATTTTCCCCCTCTTCATCTTTCTCTTTTTTTAATGAGAACAGCAGCACAAGATCGATGATAAATATCTTCTGACACTTGGTTTTACTATTTAGAATAACAGTGAGAAGAGGGGATTCTGGCAAGGGGAGAGAAAGGTCATACCCATCTAAAAGGAATGACCAGTAGCTCTCTATGAGGACTGGAAAGATCAAGGACCATACCTACCATTTTTCAAGAGAAAGCGGAAATCTAGAATTTTATGCAAAATCTCCCCAGGTTTATAAGTTAACTAAGTCAGTTTATCTTTAAGACAGCAGGGATGCCAGGCATGGAGGTACTCCTTCAATCCCAGCACTCTAGAGACAGAGGCAGGTAGAATACTGGCATTCAAGAGCAGCCTGGTCTACATAGCAAATTACAGGCCAACCAGGTCTACATAGTGAGACTCTGCCAATAAGTAAATAAATAAATGATAAATAACAAGAAAATGAAAAAGACAACAGTTTGAGTAAGAATACTGAGTATTGTGGTGCATGACTCTAATCCCAGCCCTCAGGAAACTGAAACAGGAAAGTCCTGAGTTCAAGGTGAGTCCCTTCTTAGGGCCAGGTTTTGTAGCCCATGTGTTTAATCCCGGCGCTTTCAGGAGCAGATGGAATTCTGTGAGTTCCTAGGCCAGCCAGGGCTGATCTGTATGAGATCGAGGCTAGCCCTCTTGGCCACTTTATATACTATTAAATAAATCCAAAGTAAACACTTATGTGTCATGAATATATAGCTCCAATCACTTGTTTGTTTATAATCTTTCACTCTACAAAAGATTTAATATTAGGGGCTGGAGAGATGGCTCAGTGGTTAAGAACACTGACTGCTCTTGCAGAGGACCCAGGTTCAATTCCCAGCACTCACATGGCAGCTAACAACTGTCTGTAACTTCAGTTCCAGTGTAATTTGATACCTTCTTCTGACCTCCTCAGATACTGTATACATGCAAACAATACACTCATACACATAAAATTTAAAAATATATATATAGCTGGGCGTAGTGGCACACACCTTTAATCCCAGCACTTGGGAGGCAGAGGCAGGCAGATCTCTGTGAGTTCAAGGCCAGCCTGGTCTGTATAGTAAGTTCCAGGACAGCTGGGGCTACAGGGAGACCCTGTCTCAGAAAGACCAAAAAATATATATATAATTAAAAATTTTTAATTGTAACTCTCCCCCAAACGTGAGTGTGTGTATGTGTGTTTTGACTTTTTAGACAGGGTTTCATATAGCCTTGAATGGCTTCAAAATTCACTTTGTAGCTGAGGGTGATCTTGAACTCCAGGCCTTCCTGCCTTGACTTCCCAAGTACTGGTATTCTAGGCATGTCAGCACACCCAGATTGCCTGTGTCTGTGTGTGTTTTATCTACTATACATCCTATGACCTCAAACGTGCCTGGCGCACTAGATATTCAATAAATATTTGCTAAATGAGTATTAAAACATCTTAAGAGTGAATCAAAACATATCTGAAATCACAAACGGCCCTTTGTTTTCTAGCATTTTAGATTTTTTGTTGTTTCTTTTTGACTCTGTAGCCCAGATGACCTGGAACTATGTAGCCCAACCTAGCCTCAAACACAGGTGACCCTCCTGTCTTAGTCTCCAAATGCTTGGATTACAGGTATAAGTCACCACACCCTGCTTAAATATAACCCTTTAAATCAGTAGCTATAAAAAAAATTCTATTGCCCCTTTATAAAGGGAGGTCCTATGTCATACCTACTTCCTAGGAAGTTTCAAGTAAAAGTGGCTTAGAGGAGTAAATAAAGAATATGGTCCTGGGTTAGTGAGATGGCTCAGTAGGTAAAGGGCCTTGCCAGCAAGCCTGATGACCTAAATTGGAGAATCCACATGGTGGAAAGAGAGCACAGACTCTCAGAAGTTATTCTGTGTCCTTCAGGGCATACTGTGGCATGTACCTCCATACATAGACACACACACACAAATAAATGTAAAAAAATAAAAATAAAAAGAGAACAGTGTTCCATATGAAGGGGGTTATAGAGTCCACAGATCAGAATTGGGGGCCTCCTTTGGCTTCTGGCACCACCTGGACTAGAAAAGCTTCAGACATTCACTTACTTATCCTATCTCTCACCCCAACTCAGGTGACCCAGTTCCTGTCTTCTTTTGTTTTGTTTTTTGTTTTCTACTTTTTTTTTTTTTTTTTGAGATAGGGTCTCACTGTGTAGGTCCGACTGGCCTCAAATTCTCTGCCTCTGAAGTGCTGGAATTAAAGACCTGTGCCACCATGCCAGGTCTTCCATCTCCGTGTTTGCTCTTCATTTGTTTCCCAGATGAAATATACTTTAATAATGCTAGATAGTCCCAGTACCTGAAACTGTGATAGATCCAACAGCAACCCCACAGAACAAAGGGAATTCCTCACCTTTATAGACTTGAAAGGAAAAGGGTTTCTAAACTTAGAATGGAGCGGGGAAAGGGGGTTGTCTGTGCTTTAAAGAGTGGTGCAATCTTCTAGACTTTTTTTAAAAATATTTTATTATTTTTATTTTATGTGTATGAGTGTGTTGCCTGCATGTATGTGAGTGCACCTGTGTTGTGCAATGCCTCAGAGGTCAGAAGAGGGCTCCAGATTCCCCTCGGAACTGGAGTTACAGATGGTTGTTAGCCACCATGTGGGTGCTGGGAATCTAACCCAGGTTCTCAGCAAGTGCAATCAACATCCTTAACCACTGAACCATCTCTCCAGCTGCACCCCCACAAGCCTTTTTGCTTATATAAAAAAAAAATGAAACAGGGTAGAGAGATGGCTCAGCACTTGCCAGATAAGGCACACCTTTAATCCCAGCAGTCCAAAGGCAGAGACAGGCAGATTTCTGACTTTCAGGCTGGTCTGGTCTACAATAGCAAGGTCCAGGCCAACCAGGGGAAAAAAGAGCACTGCTGCTCTTGCAGAGGAACTGGTTTCAGTTTCCAGCAGCCATGTGGGGCAGCTCACAACTTCTAACTCCAACTCCAGGGAATCCAATACACTCTTCTGGTCTCCAAGAGCACCTGCATACCTTTGTGCAGACACACACAGACATACCCAAATAAATATGATATCTTTTTTTTTGGTCTTTTTGAGACAGGTTCTCCTGTAGCCCACCTGACCTGGAACTCACTATACAGACCAGGCTGACCTCCCTCTTACAGAGATCTGCCTGCCTCTGCCTCCTGAGTGCTGGGACTAAAGGCATGCACCACCATGCCCATCTTGAAATCTTTTTTTAAAAAATATTCGTATTGATTCATTGAGAGCTTTATATAATATATTTTTGTCATGCCAACCCCCCTGTGTTAGGTTTTTTGTTTGTTTTGTTTTTTAAATTTTTTGGGGGGGGGTCTTTTTTGAGGCAGAATCTCCCAGTAACCTCAGCTGTCCTGGAACTCACTATGTAGACCAGGCTGACCTTGAACTCACAGAGATCTGCCTGCCTCTGCCTCCACTGTGCACCACCACGCCTGGCCTCGAAATAAAATCTTAAAAATAAAACGAGCCTGGCGTGGTGGCGCATGCCTTTAATCCCAGCACTTGGGAGGCAGAGGCAGGCAGATCTTTGTGAGTTCAAGGCCAGCCTGGTCTACATAGTGAGTTCCAGGACAGCTGGGGTTATAGGGAGACCCTGTCTCAAAAAGACCAAAAAATAAATAAATAAATTAATTAATTAATAAAATGAAATAGGAGTTAGAGGAAGATGAGGCCCTAGAGATTTGGGAGTATTGACTATGGTTCTGAGTACCTGATGAAATTCCTTCTGGGTCTCAAGAGAGAATCTTTATCTCGTGCCAGTCATCACTTGGTGATCCTTGATTCAGGACTGGTATCTCTATTCTAGTATCAGAGAAGTTGCTATCCATGTGAACCTGTTTCGCATGCTGGATAGTGAAGGAGGGTCCTGGTTGTTTTTAACAGGAGTTTGAGGTCATCAAAGAGGTCACAGGAATAAAGAATTATCTGAAAGGTCACTCACTCCCCAAAAGTACTTTTTTTTTTTGAGGCAGAGTCTCCCTGTAGCCCCAGCTGTCCTGGAACTCATTATGTAGACCAGGCTGGCCTGGAACACACAGAGATCTGCCTGCCTTGGCCTCCCAAGTACTGGGATTAAAGGTATGAGCCACCAGGTTCATACCAGGGGTTTGCACCATAAATTCCAAATAGTGAAGATTCATTCCAGCTTTGATACAGACATGCACTTAGACAAATTGTAGGTGAAATAACCTTCAGTAACACTGGCCACTCAGTGGGAGAACCTAGGCTATAAGATTCAATAGCAGCCCCAGTTCCCATCTTCTGAATGCCCACTCTCACCCATCAGGAAATCAACTACACAGCAGAAAAATGTACAACCTTCATCAACAGACATTTATTGAGCTTCTGATGTGTGCCAGGCACCAAGGCAGAACATATGGAGATATTAGATTGGCTGCCAGGCCACAAAAGGCTTCTGGATGACCCAAGGAAAGTAAAGTGGTAGACAGCCAGGCATGTGGTGGTCCATGCCTTTAATCCCAGGACTTGGAGGCAAACAGGTCTTTGGGCCATCAGGCCAACCTGCTCTACATAGCAAGTTTCAGGCCAGATGGGGCTATAGGGAGACCGTGTCTCAAAAAAAAAAAAAAAAAAAAAAAAAAGAAGGAAAAGTGATAGAAGCCTATGTCGACCACAAGCCTTTCTCCCCTCTGTGGTCTCAGGAAATGGGAGGGTCCAGAAAGAAACACTTCAGATGGTATCCAAGACACACAGGCTCCACATGTACAAGGCACATGTATAGAACTCACATAACTACAGGACGTGTGTACAAGACAAACACTGTATGGATTCATGTGCAGAGTCCATGTTTGCATAGGCTACATGGATATGCTTCAAGAATTCCATCTCCCCAAGTCAGGGCAGTAGGATGGGGGGAGGTCTTGGGCCACCTAGGCCTTCATGGCTGGGGCTGGTACTGGCCCTCTGTGGCCGTGAAGAAGTCCTCCAGCACACTGCGAAGGTAGTCAAAGGTGGGCCGGTCCTCTGGGCGCTCCTTCCAGCACAACATCATAAGGTGATACAGCTCTTCTGGACAGTTGTCAGGTTGCACCATGCGGTAGCCTCGCTCCAGGTTCTGAATCACTTCAGGATTGGTCATCCCTGGAAGTTCATGGGAGAAAGAATATCAAGCCTCCAAGTTTGGGAAGCCCACAGGCAAGCTGAGGCTATAGTTCAATTTTTTTTTTTTACTTAGAATTTAACCCTGAGCCTTACCTTACATATATATTAGGTAAGCACTCTACCACTAAAATAATACCCCAGCCTATACTTTGGATCTTGAATGTCTCCCAAAAACCCATATGTTGAAAGCCTGCTCTGCTGGCATGGTGGTGCATGCCTTTAATCCCAGCACTCTGGAGGCAGAGGCAGGAGGACCTCAGTGAGTTTGATGCCAGCCTGATCTACATAGTGAGTTCCAGGCCAGCTGGGCTACAGGCAGACTGTCTCAAAAAAGACCAAGAACAGCACTCAGGAGGCAGAGGCAGGCGGATCTCTGTGAGTTCAAGGCCACCTTGGTCTACATAGTGAGTTCCAAGACAGCTGGGGCTACAGGGAGACCCTGTTTCAAAAAGACCAGAAAAAAAAAAAGACCAAGGAAGCATGGTCCCCAGCCCATGGCACTAGTGAAAGGTCATAGAACCTTTAAGAGGTTTAAGAGACCACAATACTCTTCCTCTCTTTACTTCCTGCCATAAGGTAAGCAGTTTGCTACACCACAAGCTTCTCACTAACCTCCCCCAACCATATCATGGAATGGAACCTCTAAAACTATAAACTAAAATGATGAAATGAACCTTTTGTCTTTTCTTTTTTCTGGTCTTTGGAAACAGGGTCTCCCTGTAGCCCTGTTGGCCTGGAACTTGCTATGTAGAGCAGGTTGGATCCACCTGCTTCTGCCACCCAAGTGCTGAGATTAAAGGTATGACCACCACACCTGGCCTACCTCTCTTCTTAAAAAAACAAAAAAGTCATTTATTTATTAGTCAGGGCTAGAGAAATGGCTTAGCATTTAAGAACACTGGCTGTGATCATGTATGATGGTACACACCTTAAATCCCAGCAATTGAGAGGCAGAGACAGGTGGATCTCTGTGAGTTCAAGGCCAGCCTGGTCTACATAGTGAGTTCCAGGCCAGTTGGGGCTACAGAAAGTCCTGGTCTCAAAAAGACAAAAAACCCAAAACACTGGCTGCTCCTACAGCAGACACAGGTTAGGTTCCTGGTACTCACATAATGGCTACCAACTTTTTATAACTCCAGTTCCAGGCAATTCAGTGCCCTCTTCTGGCCTCCTAGGGTAATGCACACTTGTGGTGCACTTACATACATGCAGGCAAAACACTCAAACACTAAAATTATTGGTGTGTTGGGAGGCAGAGGCAGGCAGATCTCTGTGAGTTCAAGGCCAGCCTGATCTACATAGTGAGTTCCAGGACAGCTGGGGCTACAGGGAACCCTATCTCAAAAAGACCAAAAAAATAAATAAATAAAAATAAAATAAAATAAAATAATTGGTGTGTGAATGTGTGTGTGTGTGTGTGTGTGTGTGTGTGTGTAGTGTATACATGCCACGTTGCATGTATGGAAGTCAGAGGACAACTTCCAGAGGACAACTGCTCTCTCCTTGATCTAGGGATCAAAGGCATGTCATCAGGCTTGTATGGCAAGGGTGTTTCCCTCTGAGCAATAACGCCAGCCCCCCTTTCTTCTCTTTAAGTTGATTATCTCAGGGTTTGTTTTCTAATAGTAACAGGAAGCTGAATACTACAAGTGATGTTCAGAGTGTGTAACTGGCAACATATGTAAGCCTATCTGAAGGGATACTGACCTTCATCTGTAATAGAACACGAAGTGCAGTACCTGCTGAGTACCACTTGGAGTGCCTTGGTATAGTTTGCACACTCAATAAAATATATGTTAGCCAGAGGATCTTGACTGAGCTACCGTTTTGAACCTCAGTTTTCTCAGCTGGAAAATGGTTGCTTCTACTTCACTGGGTTGTTATGAGGATTGAATAAGTCAGTGATATGAAGTACTGTTTCTACGTAGGAGATCTTCATAACATGTACCTCTGGTTGTTATTTGTGGGGAATGATGGGGTAGACAGGATGGGAGCCCACAGCCAAGACAGGGGGAAGGTATCTGTAGCTTTGGGACCAGGCACATGAGAGACTGAATCAGGACAAGAGTTCGAGCCAGGACCCAGCAAAGCAAACCCTCTCTGGGGCTGAGAAAGTTCACAAGGAACCTTATGACCCAGATGTAATAAATAATCTTTGGGTTTGTTCCCTTTCTTTGTGATATGATAGTCTATGGTCCCTGTGACAGAATTTCTGGAAGGGAAAAGTTTCACTGAGGAACTCCCAGGTCACAGTGATAACAAAGCCTCCTGTTTCTAAGTTGCCCACACAGCTGCTACAAAGTTTGGCCCTGGATTCTAACCAATAGAGACCCCTCTTCTTTCTGGATTCTAATCAATAGAGAATCCTAGCACTTGGGAGGCAGAGGCAGGTGGATCCCTGTGAGATCAAGGCCAGCCTGATCTACATAGTGAGTTCCAGGCCAGCCAGGCTTACATAGTAAGGCTGTGTCTCAAAAAGACCAAAAACAAACAAACAACAACAACAAAAACCAGCTTCCACTCTGGTGACTCTTGAGAAAAAGAAAAGCCAAGAATGGAAACTTATATTATCCCAGCACTCTGGAAGCAGAAGTTCAAGACCATATTCAGATACATAGTGAGTTCAAGGCCAGCCTGGACTACAAAACAAAACAAGACCTGTATTTGGACTCCATGCTTTAGTGGGCACTACCTACTAGAGCAGAGGAAAATTCTCCAAAGTCCGTTTCTCTTGATTTTGTCCCTGACCTTGAGGCAGTTTGTTGCCCTTTGTTGCCTGCATTCTTCTGTGGAGACATTCTCTACTGTTTGGTCCTATGGACCCAGGCGAAGAATGGTAAGGACCCTGGGCAGGATATCTGCAGCACTACCTTTGAACATTGAAATAGGGCTAGGAAATCTTTTAGCCTCTGACCTGACTCCAAGGTCCCTTTACATTCCTAGGTTCAAATTTCAGCTTTGCTGTCAGCAGGTAGATGCTTCTGCCAGACCAGCCACTGCACTCCACAACTTCCCTACTCTCTCCTGTTCCATTTCCTTTCCCTAGAGGGTTTTTTGTGGTATTTTTGTTTTTGTTTTTTGTTTTGAGACAGGGTCTCCCTGTAGCCCCAGCTGTCCTGGAACTCACTATGTAGACCAGGCTGGTCTTGAACTCATAGAGATCTGCCTGCCTCTGCCTCCCAAGTGTTGGGACTACAGGTATGCGCCACCACCTTTTTTTTTTTTTTTTTTAGCAAGTTCCTTTCAGGAAACTCTACCCCAAGGACCTAGGACCATGCTTGCCTGGTTTGATCCCTAGCCCCTCAAAAACCAGGCATAGTGGTACATGCCTGTAATCCTAGCACCTCTTAGGGAAGTGAGGCAGGAAGATCAGGAGCTCAAAGTCATCCTCAGCTTCATAGAGAATTAGAGGTCAGCCTGACTTACATGAGACCCTGTCTCAAAACAAAACAAAACAAAACAAAACAAAAAAACTGTTGGATGTGCTGGCTCAGGCTTTTAATCCCAGCACTCAGGAGGCAGAGGCAGGCGGATCTCTGTGAGTTCAAAGCCAGTCTGGTCTACATCACAAGTTCCAGGCCAGGCAGGGCTACAGAGTAAGACTGTCTCAAAAAACCAAAATAATATTATAAACAAACAGAGCTGGGCATGGTAGCACATGCCTTTAATTCCAGCACTTGGGAGGCAGACACAAGTGGATCTCTATGAGTTCAAGGCCAATTTGGTCTACATAGCAAGTTCCAGGCCAGCTGGGGCTACAGGGAAACCTCAAAAAGACCAAAAAACAAAACAATAAATAAATAAATAAATAAATAAATAAATAAATAAATAAATAATAAATTTTAAAGTAAAATTCCACCCATGTTAGTTGAACTTGGAATTGAGGGCATTTTCCAGGAGAAAGAGAGCATGTTTGTATAACTCTCTCCTTTTATTTTATTTCTGTTTTTGTTTGGGGGTATTTTCTGTCTTTTTGAGACAGGGTCTCCCCTGCAGCCCCAGATAGCCTGGAACTCGCTATGTAGACCAGGCTGTCCTCCATCTCACAGAGATTCACTTGCCTCTGCCTCCAGAATGATGAGCTATTAAAGCTATGTGCTACCTCCTCCGCCATAGAAAGTTTCAGTAGGAGGACCAGTGTTTAGTGAGCACCTACTACAGGTTCAGACTCTTTCACACAGTCTCTTGTTTCACATGTCAGGAAACTGAGGCTCAGAGGATGATAGAATTTTCCCAAAGTTACTAATTTAGTAACTAATTTAGTACTATTGTACTAGATTACTATTAACTTAGTCTAGTCGAGGCATTTTTTTGATCTCATATTTAACTACTAGGAGTGATCTCTTCAAAGTTAAACAAAAAGAAAGTCAGCTGCCCATCTGGTAAGAAACGGAAGGTGTCTCGCCTCTTGGGCCAGATCCACTTCTATCATACTAGGTGGCCTGTGCAAGAATTAAGCAAAGAACTGGAGTTACTGGGTCAGGGTGGAGGAATTCAGAGACAGAGATGGAAATCAGTGCTGGGAGATGTGGTATCCAGCTGGGGACATTGGGCTCACAAGCCCAAAAGGATCGAGAAGCAACTAGAAGTTTCAGGTTCTGAGTCTGTGAAGAACTGAGTGGGAAGACATGGATTTCCTACCTGCCCCTGTAACCTTTTCAGTTTCCTCTCTCACTAACCTGGATAAGGAATGCGGCCATGGGTGACAATCTCTGTCAGCAGGATCCCAAAAGACCACACATCTGACTTGATGGTGAAGGTCCCATAGTTAATGGCTTCTGGTGCTGTCCATTTAATGGGAAATTTGGCTCCTGGAGGGAGGCAGAGTTAGGTCATCTGGGTGTGCTCAGCCGGGCCCTGGACGTCCCCATATCCTACACCTACCCTCTCTGGCTGTGTACTCATTGTCTTCAATGAGGCGTGCGAGGCCAAAGTCTGCAATCTTGCAGCTCAATGTGTCAGACACCAGGATGTTGGCAGCCCGAAGATCACGGTGGATGTAGTTCCGTTCCTCAATAAATGCCATGCCCTCTGCAATCTGCAGGCCAGAAAGAGGTCATCACTCTTTACCCCTACTGGCTTGTAGCCATACCCAGACCCTTGCCCATCCCCTTACCTGGGCTGCCATGTCCAAGAGTTTGTTGATGGACAACTTGATACCTAAAGGGGTCTTGAGAAAATCTACTAGGCTCCCTGTTGGCAAAAGCAAGAATTGTTGATCCAGATTGTCCAAGAGGAAGCCCCCAGACTGTTCCGTCCCACCTAGGGTCTGGAAGCTGTGCGTGCCAGGTGGAAAGGAAGAAGAAGGAGGAAGAAAAGAGGAGTGTGTGCTCAGGAGAGGATGCTCAACATGTGGGAAGGCGAAGAGGCCTGGGGTGGTGTGGGTGGAGTATCCACAGACTTCTTGTTATCAGTAAGGAATAGGCCCAGCTCCATAGCACCCAGAGCCCTCCATGCTCCACTCTTCTCACTGTTCATCTCCCTCACTCTACCCATCAGAGACAATTTTCAGGTTCTTCGCACAGACAGCTAGACTCTCACTCCAAAGTCTGTTTGCTAAAAATCTCTGCTTGCCGGGCTTGGTGGCACACGCCTTTAATCCCAGCACTTGGGAGGCAGAGGCAGGCAGATCTCTGTGAATTCAAGGCCAGCATGGTCTACATAGTGAGTTCCAAGACAGCTGGGGCTACAGGGAGACCCTATCTCAAAAAGACCAAAAAAAAAAAAATCTTTTCTTTCTTTCATAGTCAGGTTAGAACGCTCTCCTAGGACCTCTCCTACCAGGCATAACAAAATCATTTCAACATCTATATTCCTATGGCATACTGGACCTTCCCTAAGGCACAAACTGATTTTCTCAGTATCCATTACCCCAGTCAGGATTCCCTGGTAGCAAGACCCTTGTTTCATCCATCTGTGCTCCCACCACCCAGTATCCATGTTCCCAGGGCCTACTGAATTGAATAGAATAGAGAGTTGCCTGGGGACCCGAGGGATCACCTCTCTAGTCTGGAGGGCAACTGGGAGAAGACCACGGGTGTAAGATGCTAGGATGGAGTTTGTTGACCATTCATCTCTGCCAAGAAACTAAAACCCTGTATAAGAATGAGAATCAGTGGGTCAGCAGTTAAGCACTGGCTGCTCTTGCAGCTGACCCACAGTTCCCAGCACCCACATGGCAGCTAATAGCCATCTTTAACTCCAATTCCAGGAGATCCAACACCCTCTTCTGACCTCTGTGGACATTGCATGACATGGGTGCACTTACACACATGCAGGCAATAGACTCATACATATAAAATAAAATAAAAAAAGAATGAAGCCGGGCATGGTGGTGCATGCCTTTAAACCCAGCACTCCAGAGGCAGAAGCAGGCAGATCTCTGTGAATTCAAGGCCAGCCTGGTCTACAGAGTGAGTTCAAGACCAGCTGGGGCTATAGGGAGACCTATCTCAATAAAGATCAAAAAATAAATAATAAAAGAATGAGAATCCCCACTACAAGTGCTTAATTAGTCACCAGAGAGAGAGGCCTCACTGGGCCTCACCCAGACACAGCAAACATACAGCCAAGTACTAGCAATCTTTGTTATTATTATTATTTTTAAATAGTCTCACTTTGTAGCTCAAGCTGGTCTGGAACACAGTACCTCAAATTTGCTATGCACCTGCCTCAACCTTCCAAGTGCTACGTTTACAGGAGTACACTACCATGCCCACCTCTGCCATTACTTGATTAGCAGATGGTGTTGATACCAGTTCCAGAAACCCCTTCAAATAAGCCTCAGACTCCTTCCCAACCAGCACACCAAGAAACTGCCAAGGACAAAACCTACTTGATGTTTCCTTTAGCCATGAAAAGCTTGTATCCCTTTCTTCAAGAGGAACAAATCTTGTACTCCAAACAATCTGAGCCAGACAGCAGCAACAAACTCAGGACAGATGGCTGGTCTCTCTTGTCCTCATAAAGACCATATGGGGAAGTTCTTTTGTTAGCATCACTATTTTTTTTTTGAGACAGAGTCTCCCTGTAGCCTCAGCTGTCCTAGAACTCACTATGTAGACCAGGCTGGCCTTGAACTCACAGAGATCCGCCTGCCTTGGCCTCCCAAGTGCTGGGACTACAGGCATGCGCCACCACACCCGGCTAGCATCACTATATATTTTTTAAATATTTTTATTTATTATTTTTATTTTATGTGTATGAGTGTAGCATGTGGGTGCTGGGAATCGAACCCAGGTCCTCTGCAAGAGCAGTCAGTGCTCTTAACAGCTGAGCCATCTCTCCAGCCCCAGCACCACTATTTTTAAATGATATTTACTTAATTATTTGTGGAGGGACATGCACATGCCACAGCACATGTATGGAGGTCAGAGAACAATTTGTAGCAGTTGGTGCTTTACTTCTATCATGTGGGTTCCAGGGATTGAACTCAGGTTCAGGCTTGGCAGCAAGTGCCTTTTCCTGCTAAGCCGTCTTGCCAGTCCTAGAGCCACTATTTTACAGATGAAAAACGTACTTGGGGCAGAAAGAAGTCATGTGATTATCCCAAAGCCATGCAATTGTGAAGCCACAGCTCTAGCCAAGAATTCACTCTTGGCCTTACTAGATCACACTATCATATTTTTAAGGTATAGCATTCTGAGATCCAGGAAGGCATTGGAAGGTCAAAGAAATTGTAGGTCACAGAAGATCAGAATGAATGTTCTTCCAAAGCCTGGACCTTTACCCTGGACCTCCAACCAAACATACCAATTCCCTGAAGTGTCATAGGAGCCCAGGAAAGTTCCTCTAGAAACCCTCAGTACTGAGTTCAAAGAAAGCACATTCTGAGCCGGGTGTGGTGGCCCACGCCTTTAATCCCAGAACTCAGGAGGCAGAGACAAGCAGATCTCCCTGAGATCCAGGCCAACCTGGGGTTACAGAGAAGACCTGTCTCAAGGAAGGAAAGACAGACAGAAGGAAGGAAGAAAGGAAGGAAGGAAGGAGAAGGAAGGAGGAAGGAAGGAAGGAAGGAGGAAGGAAGGAGGAAGGAAGGAGAAGGAAGGAAGGGGAAGGAAGGAAGGAAGGAAGGAAGGAAGGAAAAGGAAAAGGAACTAGCAAATACAGTCCTACCCTGGGTTTTCACCTGGGTAGGTGGGTGACAACAGCGGCCTCTAGCGGCCAAACATGGCAGCGGCACCCACCGTTCTCCATGTATTCGGTGATGATATAGATGGGCTCCTGGGTGACAACTGCATAAAGCCGGACCAACCGCTGGTGCTGCAGCTGCTTCATGAGGTTAGCTTCAGCCAGGAAGGCATCAGGGGACATGCTCCCTTGCTTCAGGCTCTTTACGGCCACCTTCGTATGCCCGTTGTAGTACCCTGGGGAGTGTGGGGGGTGAGGGTTGGAGGAGTTGCAGAGCTCACGCTCTTGAACCAGCTCATGCCCTTGAATAGGCCACTGTGACAGGACAGACATCCGGGGATCCCCTCCCCTCTTTCCCAGCAGTCCTGCGGGCCACACTCACCCATCCAGACTTCCCCAAACTGTCCGGCCCCCAGCCTCTCAACCAACTTCAGCGTCTCCCTGGGCACCTCCCATTCATCCTCCCACCATGGCTTCTGAGGTTTCTGGGTCTGGCAAGGACGGCTCAATCGCGTGCACAGCCCATCAGAGGCATCTGCAAGGACAGAGTAGAAGGGGAGAGCGGTCAGTACTGGAGGACATGAATGTGCACTCTCCCTACCTCTCCAGGTTCCCATTTAGGGAATAGATTGTGGGTCTGGCATCCAACACCTGAGCCTGCAGGACGGAGCACCACACCTCACCCATTGTAGAGGAATGAGAGAGTATTCCTAAAGGCGGTTGGAGGGTATTCCTGAGGACTGGGGGACACTGGCTAATAGGGTAAGCACAGACATTCTCAGAGCTCACTGGTATAATGGCGGACCAGTTCATGTAGGCCGGGAAAAGTTATACGAGGGGAGATGTAGAAGCCACCGTTGTCTAGGTTACGGATCTTGTAATGTTTCACCACCTCGCCCTGGTTCTGGTCGAAGTCCCTGACAGACAGTGAAAAGGATCCTGAAGAAAGGAAGGGAAGCAGGAGGTAGGGGAGAGAAGAGGAGGTGGAGGAGAAAAAGAAAAAAAAAAATAGGAATGGCTATGAATCAGGTGGCTCCACACCTCCTCACCCTGAGGTTCCAGCTGGCAAAGTAGCCGGGGCCGGCACCCTATAGGCCTGCCCACACACCCACAGCCGGGTCCTGACCGAGGCCCCGCCCTCACACCCGTGGCCCCGCCCTCACACCCGTGGCTTCGCCGCAGCGGGGTGGCCCCTTCTCTCACCAGCAGTGCTCTCGCTCTCCCGGATCAGGAAGGATCCGTGTGTGTTCCCTGGCGCCAAAAGCTGCCGTTCTGCGTCCTTACGGCTCAGATTCTTGAAGAACCAACTAAGTAGGGCAGAAGCCAAGGACATCGGTTGTTGGTGCTTTCTTCCGCTATCGCCCTCATTCACACCCTCAGGACCACGCCCTGCTCTGAGAGTCCTACAGGTGCTCCCCATCCCCCCCACGGCGGGTCCCCACTCACGGCTCAGGCTCCAGGCTGTTTGCTTTGGCCACGAAGTTGAAGGGGATGAAGCCTTCCTGGCCGGTGGTCAGGGACTGAGCCTTCCACCATTCACCGCTCCTGTGCCACAGAGACCGTCAGCATGGCTTATGCAGCTGCCCGAGACCCCTCGGAGTTCCCAGTTGGGCCAGGCCACCGCTCCTCCCGTTTCAAACACTATGGAGCTTCATGCTTTATTCCAATGACCCTCACTTCAAGCCCAGGAGGCTCAGTCAGGGACTGCTGGAGGGCTGCAGGACACGTGCCTGTGCACACACAGAGACTAAACACACACACAGACAACACACATATACATGCACACACAGACCACACATACACACAGATCACACACATAGAGACATCTGCACATAGATCACATACACACACAGAGCACACACATGCACACACACAAAGACAACACAACACACACACACAGACAACACACACACATGCACGCTCGCAGAAGCGGGGTTAGTTAGAGGGATACTTACTGTTCCAGAATACGGAGCTGTTCACCCTTCTCAAAACCCAGGTCTCCATCATGGGAAGGTTCATAGCTGTGCAGGGCAATAACCAAGTTGTCTGTAAAGACAGGGGGTGTCAAGAGGGACTAGCCTGGGGCTGACAGGAAAAATGAAGTTCTAGAGGTTCAGGGCATGGGACAAGGCTGGGGACAGGTGAACCGTACGTGGAGAGGGGATGAATGCCAACAGCCAAGCATCCACAGGCCCTATGTCCCACACCCTGCTGGATGGAGCTACCTTGCAATGGAGAGGCTGGTGGGTTGCAGCCCTCATAGGTGACCAGTGGGTCCCGGACTTCAGAGCCATTCCGGATGGGCAGCTGTGAGGTGGGGGATGAGAGTAAGGTCAGAAAAAAAAAGACTGGATCAGACCCTGGCTCTCCATCCCTCTGCCTTGCTCTGTTTCTCCCGCCTGGCTGGACCTTATCTCTAAACTTGCAAACTGTGTATATACTTGACCTTGGGAAAGTCCTTTCCTCTCTGGCCTCTTTCTTTCCCTATTCCAGAAGAGATGGGTGTGTGTTGTTTCAAGGACCTTTAGTTGTGGTTCATTTCTTTCTCGGGGTGCACAATCCATCCCATACCCTCTGATCCCATGTTGTCTCTTACCGTGGTCTTGCCATCCAGTGGGACTATGGGATAGTGGCAGTTCTCGCACACATCGATGTTTTCCATCCAGTCGTCTTCAGGGTTTGAGCTGCAGCTACAGCCCATGATCCCTGGAAGAATGGAGAGGGGGCTGAAGAAGCTCCCCCTAGACCTGTTCCCTCAATATCAGACATCCCAGGGTACTGCACTGGAATTTACAAAAGTACCTGAGATTGTCAGCTCAGAGGTCCCCATCCACCAGACACAGAAGGGCTGAAAAGCAGGATTCTAACTTATGACCTGGTTCTCTATGAGCCTTCAGGCCATAAGCAAATTCACACCAGGCCCCAGGCCCAAGGCTAGGCCCCGCCTCCCCACCTGGGATGGGCAAACCGCCATAGGCACCTTTGTAAGTCTAGTTACCCACTTCCTGCCTCCTCACCCCTACCTTTCCCTCACATTGGGGGACTACCTCAAAGATAACACACACTTTGCAAAGGCCTGGGGGAAACCTAAGTTTTGATTCCCTTCTCCATCAGAGAGGGTGTATGTCTCGTCTTAATTACAACTCCCCTGCCCAGCCACCAAAGCTGAGAGACTCCTGCTCCTTAAAGCAGAGTCAGCCTAGAGCCTCTGCCCTACCCCATCCACACCCACACCCACACTTACACCACAGTCTCCTTCAGGGGGTTCCTTCTAACAGGCTTTTCTCACCAACAGAAAACTCTTGTGTGACCCTGTTGGCTATGACTTTTGTTTGCCTGTTTTAGCAGTGGAAACATTTTGTCAAATGAAATCAATTAGAACCCCCTCCAATAGAGCTGTACAAGTGGGACAGTTCTAAGCTAGACAGAGTCGGGCTCCCTCTGAAGTCTCTGGAGTCTCTATGGTACTCGTTTCCCTGGGGCTGCTCCTCAGGACTGCTTGGAAAGCACTGGTCCTCAAAGTACAATTTACCATGCGTTTGCTATACACACACGTAGTATGTGTGTGTACAGGTGTCCACAGAAGCCGCAAGATCCCCTGGAGCTAGAGTAATGCAGTTTTGAGCAGATTTATATTTTTAAAACTATTTTATTTATTATTTTTATTTTATGTGTATGCGCGTATTGCCTGCATGTAGGTAAGTGCATTCGTGTTGTGCAATGCCCTTGGAAGACAGAAGAGGCTGTTGGATCCCCTGGAACTGGAACTGGAGTTACAGACAGTTGTTAGCTGCCATGTAGGTGCTGAGATTCAAACCCAGGTCTTCTGCAAGAACAGTCAGTGTTCTTAACCGCTGGGCCATCTCCCTAGCCCCATGGATGCTTTTTTAACTGCTGAGTCATCTCTCCAGTCAGTCTTTTATCCTTTTGATGGACAGGAGTTCATCAAGAACAGAAGCTATGTGTCACCTGCCTTAAAGCCTGTGGTACCTAGAACTAGTTGTTAATAAATTTCAATAGGTATGTGGAGGGTTAGTGCAGATTCTCCCATCTGCAATGGTCTTAGAAACCATCAAATCTAACCCTTGATTTTTTTTTAATATTTTATTTATTATTATTATTATTTTTTTTTTTTTTTATTTATTTTATGTGTATGAATATATTGTCTGCATGTAGGTAAGTGCACCCTTACAAAAGAACTCAGATGATTAGTTAGCATCTGCTGCTACATCAAATGCCACTACGCCCGGCCGTATTTATTATTATTTTTATTTTATGTTTGTGAGTGTATTGCCTGAATGTATGTGAGTGCACTTCTGAGTCATGCAATGCCTCAGAAGTCAGAAGAGGACTTTGGATTCCTCTGGAACTGGAGTTAAGGACGTTTGTACCCGCCATGTGGGTGCTGGGAATCGAACCCAGGTCCTCAGCAAGAGCAGTCAGTGCTCTTAACAGCTGAGCCATCTCTCCAGCCCCATGATTTAATTTTAATTTTTTTTTTTTTTTTGAGACAGAGTCTCACTTCGTAGCTCTGGCTGGCCTGGAATTCACTATGTACACCAAGCTGACCTCGAGCTCACAGAGATCCTCCTGCCTCTAATTATGAGTGCTGGGATTAAGGCATACACCACCACACCCAGCCTGATTTAATTTTTATTTTTTTGTTTATATATTTATTTTTCAGACAAGGTCTCACTATGTTGCCCAGGCTGGCCTGGAACTTGGGCTCAAGTGGTCCTTCTGCTCAGCATCTCAAGTGGCTGAGAGTACAGGCATGTGTTGTCACACTTGGCTTTGACTTCTGATTTCAGGTAAACGAAGCTACGCCCAGAGAAGTGTATCTAAAGTCCCACATTTGGGGCTGAGCAAAGAAAAAGTTACTAATTTATGCTGGGTCTAAGTGGATGCTGGAGCAGGGGAGGGTATTGGTCAGCAAAATTCCAAAGACAGAATCTGAAAGATCTCACTGAAATAGTAGCCATGTTCTGGACATAGTGGCACATGCCTGTAATCCCACCATTCGGGAGGTAGAGGCAGAATAATCAGAAGTTCAAGGTAACTTCCCACTACACAGAAAGTTTGAGGTTAGCCTGAGCTACACAAAACTCTGTCTTAAAAACAAAACAACAAGCTGGGCGTGGTGGCGCATGCCTTTAATCCCAGCACTTGGCAGGCAGAGGCAGGCAGATCTCTGTGAGTTCAAGGCCAGCCTGGTCTACATAGTGAGTTCCAGGACATCTGGGGCTACAGGGAGACCCTGTCTCAGAAAGACCAAAAAAAAAAAACCCAAAAAAACTCAGCAACAACGAAAACTCTACAACTAGATACAATTAAAAAAAACTAGCGTGAGCTTATTGTATGATTTTGGTGAAACCACTCTTGAAAGCCTCAGTTTCCCTCTTCTGACATTGAGGCTGATCACCCTTTTCTTTTCTTCTGTAGACCAGGTCATCGCCCTTTTCTTCTCATCCTACACACAGTTAGCTAAGTTTACTAGAACTTGGAAGACTTGTTCCAGCTCTCATTCAGCCTCATGCATCCCTGCCTGGGAGAGTGGGAAAATAGGACTGGCAAATAATCCTCTTTGCTTCAAGATCATTTCTTCAACTGAATCACTAACAGCCTCCCACAGATACCAGAAGTCACAATATACATCTTCCTGTGTTTCTTGAACTTAAGCAACGTGGACCTACTATGGAGAAATAATGACAAATGTCCCTGGAACATTAAACTAAATCAAGAGACTTCAGAGTTGTTGGCGATGTAGCTCAGTTGGCAGTGCTTGCCTAGCACACCCTAGGGTCCATCACCAGCATGGAATAAAACCAGGCTTGGTGGTATACACCTGTAATCCCAGCACTGGGAAGGTGGAGGCCAGAGGATCAGGAGTTCAAGGTTACTCTGGGATATAGGAGACCCTGTCTCAGAACCCACAAAAAAAAGACCAAAAAGACCCTCAAGAAAAGAGTAACACATTAGCTCTTCCTTCAACCCCATTACTGGGAGGCCTTGGGGAAAGTGAACATTTGCCGTGCCAGAGTGGGCTCATCTATGGTTATACATGATGTCTTGACAGCTATTATATAATGGCCAGAAACTGACTAGCAGCAGTAAAAGCTCCCAGAAAAAGAGTGAGCATCCTGCCTGTAATTCAAATGGACTTTAGAAAAATGCAGGTTCCACAATACCAGCATTTAGGGTTGCTTTCAGAAAGGCCAAGAAAGGCCATGTATATTGGTACTCACCTGTAATCCCAGCAACTCAGGAGGCAGAGGCAGGCAAATCCCTGTGAGTCAGAGTTTAGTCTGATCTACCTAGCAAGTTCCAGGCAAGCCAGGGTGACAACATAGTGAGATCTTGTCTTTTTTTTTTTTTTTTTTTTTTGGTCTTATTGAGAGACAGGGTCTCCTTGTAGCTGCAGCTGTCCTAGAACTCACTATGTAGGCCAGGCTGGCCTTGGCTTGAACTCACAGAAATCTTCCTGCCTCTGCCTCCCAAATGCTGTGTGCATCGCCACACCTGGCAAGACCTTGTCTTAAAAAAAGAAAAAGGAAAGCCAGGCATGGTGGCGCTCGACTTTAATCACATCACTCGGGAGGCAGAGGCAGGCAGATCTCTGAGTTCAAGACCAGCCTGGTC